AAGACACAAGATTTCAAATCCATTCCCTAACCCAAGTCCAACAAAAATAACACGTGTTTCAACTCTTTCCCAGAGATGCTTCCCAACAGGTACCAGAAGCCATTCTAAATTTACGTCTATGTCTTAGGGACAAATTTTGTGTTCTTTCTATTTCACTGGGCTGCCTCACTTAAAAAAAATTGCAAATTGCTTTTACATACATTACTTCCAGACAATTTGAAATACCCACCTATATAGATATAGATGTGATGTTAGTTAAAAGTCGTAACAAATTGACCCAAAAATAATTGTAAAAAAAAATTGTTTGCTTTCTCATATTACAGAACTTGCAGGGAAGTTCTATTTCACATGGTCATTCAGCCCAGCACAGGGGGAAAAGAAAAGAACTTGGAGAAAGCAAACCTAACGTCTTAAAACTCAGTTCAGGAAGTGGCACACCCACAGTTCATGGCCTCACTTAAGTGATCGGTGGGTGGGAAATAGAGTCTAGCTAGGCAGCCATATGAGAAGGAGGGATACGTGGACAGAAAGAGAGAGATGACAAATAAATGATGGATTTAGATTCAGGAGCAGGTTTAGACTTAGATTTAGATTTTATATGTTCTGTTACTTGTCAGTTTTAAACAGATGGGAATTAAACATATAAAGAATATTCAACTTCTCCAAAGATTTCCCCCTGGCAAGGGGAAAATCTGGAGACTCTAGCATAGACCGTTTGGTGTTTGGTGGGGCTATGTTTAAGAGAGCTTTGAATGCCATGCAATACTAGGCAAGGCTTCTGAAAAAGAAGTGACACAATCCAACGATATTTGAAGAGGATAATTTACAGCAATATGAAGAGTGAATTGTAGAAAAAGAAATAAAGATATGAAATCAAGAAACATGCCAAGCAAATTCAACCAAAGACAGTGTGGATGAAAAAAAGACAGATAATACTGAGCAGGTTCAGAACTCAGGGCCCATGAAAGGGCCAAGGCACACATGGGTGGCCTCTATATTGCCAAATGCAGCAGTTATTTCACACATACTAGCATTTTACTGAAACCTCCCCTGGTTTTCTTCCCATTTCTCCAGCACCTCCTCCTCAGTCTCCTTTGCAGGTACTTTCTCCCACCCCTCAACCTTAGAGGACTGTCAGGACTCAGTTCTGAATCCTCTTCTCCACTCACTCCTCCACCCCCCCACCCCCCCGTTGTCCCACCTAGTTCTTAAGCTTTAGATTGCATCCATCATCTACTGTTAGAATAAGTTTACCCAACAAACCCCCTAAATACAGAGGCTTTAAACAATCCACATTGGGGTGGGGAACCTGCAGCCTTAAGGTCACAGGTGGCCTTCTAAATTCTTAAGTGTGACCTTTTGTTCTGCAAAATTTGAATTCAGTCAAAAGGCCTTAATAAAGGACCTAGAAGGCCACAGGTTTCCCTCCCTTTAGTTTCTGACTCTACAGGTTGTCGGGAAGGTCCTGCTATTCTCAATAGAACCCCACACATCTGTCTAGGTGCCAAATGGCTATAGGCTGATCTAAAATGGACTGGACTGGGATGAGTGGGGCAACTCCTCTCTACCACACAGTCTCTTATCTTCCAGCTGGCCAGCTCAGGCATGTTTTCATGGTAATAACGGAGGGCAAGAGCAATCCAAGCCAATCACACGAACATTTTAAAAGCTGCTGCTTGCATCATGATCAGTACTGTCCTATTAGTCATTAGTGGGAGAGCACTGAAAAGTTAGTAGGCACAGGACAGCGATACAGGGAGAGAAAGAGAACCAGAGCCTTTGTTTTTTAATCTTCCACAATATCTAAATGCAAAGCTCCCTAATTTATATACCCAAGCCCTGACCTCTATTCTGGACTCTAGAATGTGTGTCCAATAGTCTAATGAACAGTCCACTTAGGTATCTCTAAGCATTTCCTATTTAAAGCATTTAAAACTGAATTTTGATCTCTGCCTGTCAACACCTGCTCCTCTTCTAGGTTCTCCTTCTCCATATGTGATGCTGCCATCCACCCAGATGCTCAAGCCAGAAACTTGAAGCCAGGAGTCTTTCTAGACACTCTTCTCAGACACTCTTCCCTCCTTTGTCTCAGATAGAACCCATTAAGACTCACCAACTAGGCTCGGTGCCTGCAGCTCAAGCGGCTAAGCATCAGCCATATACACCAGAGCTGGCAGGTTTGAATCCAGCCCGGGCCTACCAAACAACAATGACAACTACAACCAAAAAATAGCTGGGTGTTGTGACCGGCACCTGTTGTCCCAGCTACTTAGGAGGCTGAGACAAGAGAATCGCTTAAGCCCAGGAGTTGAAGGTTGCTGTGAGTGCCACAGCACTCTACCCAGGGCAACAGCTTGAGGCTCTGTCTCAAAAAAAACAAAGACTCACCAACTATACCTCCATATCGTCCACTTCCACTTTGGCAGATTTAATCAACCTCAGATCAAAAGTATTCAGAAAAAAAATTTTTAAAAAGCCCATACAACAATAAAAAATAATACAAATAAAAACCACACCATAGCAAAGCAACTATTTACATACATTTGCATTATATTATCAGTAATCTAAAGATGATTACAGTATATGGAGGACATGAGTAGGTTATATACATATATGCAAATATATGCCATTCATATAAGAGAATTGAACATCTGTGGGTTTTGGTATACACAGTGGAGGGGTCCTGAAACCAACCCCCCACGGATGCTGAGGGATGGCTTTGTCTCATTTCCATCTTCTCTCCATCTCCCTTGCCACTCTTCTAGTCCAAGTTGTTTTTATTTCTCTATTGAATATTTAAATCTATCCCACTGAGCTTAAAATAAAATCTCAAACCCTTAACAAGTCCTGCATAGTCAGGTCCCCACCTCCATCTGCAGCCTCATCCTGTGCCACTTCCTCCTCACTCACTAAGTTCCAATCTTACTGGATTTTGCCATTATCCAGGTACAAGCCCTTTCTTACCTCAAGATGTTGGCCATGCTGTTTCCCAAAGAACATACTGAGTAATAAGAATGTGGACTCTAGCTCTTCCAGACTGTGTGATCTTGGGCAAGCTTCATAACCTCTCTGTGCTTCAGCTTCCGTACCTATAAAATGAGAATAGAAATACACTTAGCACTACATCACAGAGATATTCTGAGAATTAAAGGAACTAATGAATACTCTTGTACAATTCCTAGAACACAGGAAGTACTAAATGTGTCTCTATTAAGTGAAATAAGTTCTTCACTAGATCATTTTAAACACAACTTGTAATCATTTATTCTTTTGTGTAGGGGTTACCTTACTGTTTAATGTTTGTTTTTTCCCACTGGACTTTTAGTTATATTAGGGCAATGTATCTGTTTTGTTCACCATTCTATCCCTCTTACCAATAAAATACTTTGCATATCATGGATGTAAAATATTTGTTGAATGAGTAAATAATTATGAAAGGTTCAAGCTAGCAATCTAATTATTATGGGTTTGTGGGGGCCTTAAAGTCTATCTCTCTTTAGGAATTTTAGAAAAAGAATCAGTTCTAGGTTGAGCACAGTGGCTCAGACCTGTAATGCCAGTGCTTTGGGAGGCCAGGGCAGGAGAATTGCTTGAGGTCAGGAGTTTGAGACTAGCCTGGGCAATAGAGTAAGACTCCATCTCTACAAAAAAACAAAAAAATATTAACCGAGAGTGATAGTGAGTACCTATAGTCCCAGCTACTTGGGAGGCTGAGGCAAAGAGGAACCTGTGAGCCCAGGATTTCAAGGATACAGTGAGCTATGACTGTGATGTGTAGCCTGGATGACAGAGGGAGACTGTCCATTAGAAAAAAAAATCAATTCGAAATTCATAACATCCCAACCAGGTTTGGTCCCTTTCTCTCTGTAGGTTCACAGAAGAATAGGGATGGTTTACTCAACAGTTTTCTATGAAAATCTCCTCCTTCAAATGAAGGCAGAAAAGAGAAAGTTGGAGACTATTGGCAAAAGGGCACAGATATAGCAGATTCAGTAACAATTACAGTATATGAGGTCACCATATGGTAATTCAATTTAAAAAATACTAGAACCAAGTGTTAATGTGTATCTAGTAATAGAAATTTGTCCTTTATAAGAAGCATGAGAAAAGAGGAGAGCAAAATACAGCTATGACAAAGAAACGTCAGGTGCTTTTCTTATTTTATTGTTTGTGTAAGCGTCTGGCTCCACCAACATATACACAGGTGAGACCCAGGTTATGCCACTTCTATCTACAGAAAAAGAATCCTCATCCTCTAGGCAACAACAGGGAGTGTGAAAACTCATCCAGGGAAGTTCTTTAACTCATTTAACATTAACTCATTTAATCTCCCTACCACCTCGTGCGTAGGTAGTATTACCGAAGGTGACAGTGTGTAGGTGGAAAAGCCAGATTATAATTATGATTCAATCTAAAGACGATGTCACCGAAGAGCCTGCCTTTAGTCAGCTCTGACACGTTTGAGATCACTAGTTAGGATCAGACCAGCAACTTACAGGGTGGTCTGCAGATCTTGCAGGAGAATCACTGGCAGTGTTCATTAAAAATTCAGATTTTCAGAGGGCATTCAAGACCAACGGAATCAACAAGAACTGGTCAGGAATTTAGTTTTAAAAATCACCTCCAAGTGATTCTGAGGCAGGATATCTGTGGATGCAGGACACACGCTTAGCCTGCCTACATTGTTCCGAGTCAACAACACACTGCCCGGGCTGACTTCAGCTCAGCTTTGCAACCTCCAACCAAATCTGGCCCAGCGGCATAACAGATCTGAGCACGCGCAGTATTTAGCCCTGAGCGGTGGGCGGGGCGGGGGGGGGTGCTGAGCCTGGGGGCGGAGCTCTTCTGAGAACCTTAATTCCGGCTCCTCCCCGCGGCGGCCCGGAGCCACGCCCCTGATCTTAGGCCAATCAAATAGCAGATTGCTGAAGCTGGTGGCCAATGCACAGGGCTGTCCTTAATTGCTCGCCGTAGTTTGAAACTGTCAGGTTGCTGCTGAGTATCCGCTGTACCGACTGGGGTTTCTGCCACGACACCGGGAGAAGACACAGGTGAGAAATCTATGTTTGACCGCGACAGTGGGTAGCGGCGCTCCGGGCGGGTCCTGCGTCCCTAGCTGGAGTAGTGGAGCGGAATTTAAAGTCCCTCGGCCCGGTTTCCGCTCCCGGGGCTCATCTTTCCCCGACGCGGGCGCTGCTGCTGTTGTGCGGGAAGGTCGAGACAATTTTCCCTGAGAGGCATCTGGGGACAGAGGGCAGGAGAAGGGTGCGAAGCGGTAGGTTCTGGTCATTTAAAACATGGGGATGGGGGCAAATCATGTTGAAAGCTTTATCGCTTTTATGTAAGATTTTTATTAGAACATGGCTGGGTAAGGAAGGTGATGGAAGAAAAGTAGCTATTTGCTTACTGGCATCTCCTTTCTCCCTCTGCTTCTAGTCCCTCCTTTGAGGAAGGACTGGCGTGCCCCTTCTTGCGTTCAGCTGGGGCTAGTGAAGAGCACAGGGGACGTCAATCACCCTGCTGCCAGTTTGCACGTTATTTACTCTTTCTCTGCCTCTTGATGTGATTTGACGTTATTTTGTAGCCTTGGCAACAGAGAAGCACACAAAAGTTTTGATCTCGTGGTTTCTGACACCTTGGGTTAAAGAATACTAAAAAATTGGCGGACTGATGTACATCGGCCACACGTTAAGACAAGCTTTACTTTTCTCCTTTGTTTCTGAGTCTAAAAACAGTAAGGAAGTTGCTACCATTGTAGGTTTTCAAATAAATGGTGATACTTTGTTGGCATAAAGCAGACCAGATGGAAAACAGCATGTTTTCCAAACGTGCGATCATTGTTTTGTGTCTGCAGTGTCTCTATTAACAATTTTTAAGGTCTGATCAGCTCAGTTATTTTTTAAATAATAAGTACTACCCCACTCCTGACTCCTGTTACCTGCTGGATCTACAAACAAATCGTAAGGAATAGGCAAATGAAAATATAAAGGGTTCCAGTTACCACAGTGGTGGATTTGAAGTCAGAGGAGCAGCCATTCCTGGCAGATACATGTGCTTATTTTATCCTCCTTAATTGGCTTAACTAAAGACAGTCATGCTGAGATTTAGTTTACTGAGGATGCATATACACACTGATATTCATTGAAAAGTTAAAAGTTAAAATTGCTTTTCTACAATCGAGTTTCAACCTACATTTCCACTGTAATATTGCACTTTTCCCTGTATCTTTTCTACTTCAAGTTATTCATCTCATTTACTTTACAGCCCACTATCATTAAGACCTTTTCCACTTTCCACTGAAATTGCTCAAGCAAATGTCACAGCAAGTTTCTGATTGCCAAAGATTCTATCAAGTCTTTTTCTTTGGCATCTGACTTTACTTCCTTCTCAAAATTATTGTGATGCTGATCCTGTAATTCTGTTGTTCTGACTTTTCAATCTTCTTTGCTGACTCTTCCTCTCTTCCCCTTTTAAGGTCAGTGGTTCTGGCTTTACCCCCTTTCTCACTCATAGTTTAGTCTTTAACTTTATTAGGGTTATGATTCCCTCTGAACACATACTGGAGGGTAAAAATCCTCTTCCTAGAAAAATACACATGTGTATTTATGATTAAAATGTCCCATATAATTTGGGCGTGTGGACATTGGGATAGGAATTCTTTCTTACTCTCCTTCTTGTAGGTGATCTCATCCATTCCCTTTTACAGCAGGTTTCAATATGCTAGTGATTCCTCAAATTAGATCTCCAACCCATACCTACGAAGCAGGGCTCCAACACTGCTTAACTCCAGGAAGCACTGTTCACAGTATAGCCACTGAGAATGGCAGTCTTTGAAGTAGTGCATGGCACAGCTACATCTGGCCATAGACTGCATACCTGTAACTTTATCTCAGTGCCTTAGAGGCCACCTCACACCCCAAACATCTGATACTGAGCTTATTGTCTTTAATCCCAACCTGCTCATTTCCGACCTCACTGCCTCGGTGAGGTGCAATATCCATCAAGCCATCTAGTTACCCAAGCCATAAACACTTCTTTTTAACCCCTTAACCAGTTATTGGTCATGATCTCTAATTTCCTCTGACACGACACAGCTGTCTTGTGATCATACCTTCCATGCCTTTTCCATTGCTGCTTCCCAGATTCGAGTCCTCACTTCTCTCCTTGATTACTATTGGAGGAAACATTTATCTCCTGAGCTACTGTAGTTATCTCTCAATTAATCTCTCTTCAATATTCTAGTCCATCCTCAAATCTGCCAGAGTGATCTTTTTAAAAATCAAGCCAGATCATATAACTACTTTTAAAAAACATTTTAATGATTCTCTAGAATAGAGACCCAGCTTTTTAATATGACAAATCGTCATCTTTTGGCTTGTTATCTATAGCTCCTAGGGGACCAGCCACATACACCAGAGCTGGCGGGTTTGAACCCAGCCCAGGCCTGCCAAACAACAGTGACAACTGCAACCAGGTGTTATGGCAGGTACTTGTAGTCCCAGCTACTCAGGAAGCTGAGGCAAGAGAATCGCGTAAGCCCAAGAGTTTGAGGCTGCTGTGAGCCGTGACACCATGGCACTCTACATAGGGTGACATAGTGACACTCTGTCTCAAAAAAAAAAAAAAGTCATCATCTTTCATGACCTGGCTGCTCCTTACCTTTTCATTTCATCCTTAGTGAAGTCTTGCTATGTACCCTTTACTGCAGCCTTTCCAAATTGCTTTCTGTCCCTGGCATGTATGTCCATGCGTCTGTGTCTATGCTTATACTGCTTTTCGGACTAGAATATCTTCATATCTTATATCCATCTTTCAGGTGTCAACATCTGGATCATATCTCTATAAATACTTTCTCTATCTCTTTTCCCACTTCTTTACACCATGCAGTCCCACCCTGTGAAAAATGGCTACTCCTACCTCCCTACTTTGTACCTCTGTTATTTTAGGGTCTATCAGCAAGTTATTCATTAATTGCATCATATGCACTTCTGGCCCTCTCTACAAATTGTAAAGTCCTTGAGAACAGGGACTTATTCATTTTATATTCCTCACCTTGTGTTCAGACTATTTGAATAGTCACTGTTTTTTAAATAATTGGATTACATGTTACTAAAAGTACTTTTTCTGGGAGGGGGTTAAGATTTTCAATAAGTTTTCTTTGCATATATTTGAGTCTGTTATTCTGTGTAAACTTGGATTTCTTAAAGTAATATTCCCAAAGGTCAGTTTCCCAAGAAGGGAATCTGCACAGATCATTCATTCTCTCTTGGTTCAGTGTCTTAACGTGAAAATGCACAGCGCCCAGGTTGTCACACGTTGCTCAGAATCAGTGATGACAATCTGTTATCCTCAACAGTCCCCATTTTTTCTAAAAATCCTTTCATTCTTTTCTCATGAAAAGAGCCCCCATTTCATGAAGATAGTAATATTCCTAAACTCACTAATGTGAGATTGGCTCTTTATTTCTTCTTGCCCAGTGATTTTTGCCTTAGAAGGCACTTGATATGTTGAATGAATGACTTTCATGTGTCACCTGAAGATTGTTCATTAAGTTAGGATGCTGTTGCACTTAAATGCCTCTAGAAAGTATTTTATTTTAAGTTAGCTTCTTCTGTCTTACAGTATTTGTGCAGAATGTCATCAGAAGAGGAGAAATACTCACTTCCAGTTGCGCAAAATGAGTCTGATCGAGGCAGTTCTGTCTCTTCAGATCTTCAGGTAGGAAGAAATGTCCAAATTTGTCATGCTTTTTGAATTTTAAACAATAAGGGAAAACTAAGAGTACGTTTTTCATTTGTTCATTCTACTTACAAAGGAGTCTCAGTTTACAATAATAGCAATGTGGGATCTTACTTTATACATTTTGGGAGTTACTTTACATCATTTTAACCTTTCAGGAAATAGTCATGAACTCATCAAATACTCTTTGTACCAATGCAGTGAGAGGAGAAGCTGAAAATGTCAAGTAACCATTTTTCTTGAAATGTTTTTATTTTAACTGCCTCTCATGAATGCTACTTTCACTTTTAATGCAAACCATTCAAAGTTCTAGAGCTCAAGATTCCCTTGGGTTCTACATGCTCAGGTTTTAGTTTCTGTTGCCACAACGTTCAGCACGGTCTGCTGCCCAGGACCTGCACGTTGACAGATAAAATGGATTGATTGACTATAGAAGATACGGTATTTACATAAAATGTTTTACATTTATTTGTAAATGTTTCATCATCAAAAATATGGATTCAGATTTCTAAAGTAGACTTTAAATGAGAGAATAACTACATGGTATAGCTTACACGTTATAGTTGTATCACTTAAGAGGGGAAAAGCTAGATACTGTGTTTATGCCTGAGTAAGTTGTTAGTATCACAGTGTATAACAGGAGAAAAGCTTTAGGAACATATTTTATGAAACAAACGTGTTCCGTTAACTGAAGTGATGGATTTTGAAATTAGGAAAGTATTGGAAAAATATCTGCAAGTTTACTAGGATAAAAGTAAAATGGGATTGTGACATAGATGTTTCCTTGTAGCTGTCCCTTTGATATGGCACCTCTCCCAGCTAGTGAGTTCTGTCTTTTTAGGTAACAGTATTTTCCCGCACCCTTCACTTCTGCCTTATCCACACTTCAAGAAAGAACTGATTAATTCATTTATACTAAATGATAAACACCTTGTAAAGTCTCAGATTGTCATTTTGACAAGAGACAAAGCTTTAAATTGAAGAAGAAATAAAAAACCTCTGTACACATCATTTCCATTCAAATCTTAAGGACCAGGTCTCTTGGCCACACCTAGAGAAGGGTGGGTGGAAGGCTGGGAAACATAGCTAGATAGCCATTTGTCAGCGTCAAACACTGGGGCTTTATTAACTTAAAGAAATAAAGGGAAAATGGATGCTGCTGGACTATTTGCTGTCTCTGCACTTGAAATTTTATATATTTTATTGGTTTATCAGAAATAATTCATACATTCAGTTTTGTGGGAACCAGTGACCATCTTGTATATAGCCCCAGTTTATCCAACTATTGGGGAATTTCCTTTTATTGTTATGACTAGAAAACTGATATGGCTCAGGAAGAATACTTTAAAATTTAAGGATATTTTAATCCATTTAATAAAGAATTATATAGTTTTGTCACTATAAAAGTAAATGAAATGTGATAGCCTACTCTAACTGATTTTTTTTTCTAATAGCCTTCTACTTCAGTGATAACTATCATGTGAAATACTGACTTTTATTTGCTATCAGAAAATACAAGTTCAGAACTCAGACCTGTGTTAATTATCATGAGGGGGACATTACTCACAGAGTGTGTGTACTATAGCAATCCGAAGGAGATTCTGCTGATTGAAGTGTCTAAAGTCTCTTTCTCTTCTGTTGTCAGCTTTAACATACATAAGCTTCTATATTTGCAATACCTGATATTTATTGCACACATGAGGTCAGACAATTAAGTTTGTGAACTCATCCTAGAAAAAATGCTACACACCTCATTCTTTACTATCACTGTGGTCACCTTTGAAGTACTTCCCTTGGCCATCTGGTGACCATAAATGATATTCAGCAATGAGGTAGGCAGCACTTTTTCCAGGGCGAGTTCGTGAACTTAATTGTCTGACCTCATGTGTATCTGTGTTAAATATTTAAGTCAAGGTTGAAACTCAACCCAAGTCACTCTCTACATTTACAGTACTTTGCAATGTATAATGCACTGTGACAAGCATGTGACTCTTTTATGGTAATTAAATTTCTGACAAACAAAAAAATCCAGTAGTTGAATATATTATACTATTGTAACTTATAATAAATTATCAGTTCTTGGCTTCTCGTAGGAAGAGTATGAAGAACTACTTCGTTACGCTATAGTCACTCCAAACATTGAATCCAGTGCTTCCCAGTCGTCGCACCCTAAGGGAGAAGTGGTGCCGGATGTTAGAGCTCCTACTGCAACTGATAGTCTTCATAAACAAGGTTAGGGATTTTTTAAAGATATCTCTTAATTTAAGGTATTATTGAATTTATTAGTGATAACGGACTTAGGATTATGAAAATGCCTTTCCAGATCAATGAGCCTTCTTAATCGTTAGTGTGCAGCATTATCATCTGGGGGAACATTTTTCATTTTCCTGTTATTCCTGACTCTTACATAAGCAACTGGATTTTAATGTGGACTTCATTTGTCTCCTACTTCGATGAAAAGTAATAAAGCTAAAGCAACACCCTAGCAATGTGGTCTCTTAGAAGAGTAAGGTGCACCTTAGTACTTCTTCCAATGATCTTAGGCCAAGCTCATCTCGAATACTAACTGCCTAAGCCCCAAATTCAGGATGGTCCAGAGGTGGCATCCCTGAAGGCACTCTATGAACCACACACTAATACTCTGTCAGCAGTATTTACATGGTCATGGAGGAAAGTTGTTTATTCTCATTACTACTGAGAACTCAGTGTGCTGTGTACTGTCTAATAAATTTAAATAAGTGAGTAAGCATTATAGCCCCATATACCCCTGCCCTTAAGGGGATTATGAAAAACCTGTTTCCTTTCCCATTACCAACAATACTACTGTGCTGTTGTTCCCAGTGATACAACACAGGGGGCCTTTTCTTGCTCTAACCCTTCAACATTTTAAGGTAATCATTTGGGGTTTAAGACTATAGCTCTTTTCTTCCAGATGAGGTAGTATTTATTTTATGCTCTGTCTTTTCCAGAAAACAATATGAGATTAAAACATACAACATGCAGTGAGCTTAGATATCCTTTGGACATCCTGCTTCACAAATGGCCATTGTTAGGTTGGACTGTGTAAACTTATCATCACACATTCTCTGCATTCTTGGTATTGCAGTCTCTTAGTATAAGACCAAGATGTATTGAAGCTGGTAAAGTATATATAAGCTTTTAACATAGCCATTCTCCTGAGGTTTTTCCCAGTTTCCTTTTTGTCATTTATTAACTAAAGTTTCCTGAAATAGAAGCAAAGAAGTCCTTATTCGGGAGAGCCAGTGCCACTTTAGTTTGATTACAGGTAGAGAAAAGCAGCAGGCCTCTGAAAATAGCCAGTGTCATGAGATAGCGAATCCTTTTCTGCCTTCTAATGTCACTCACCCACTTAACTCTTCTGTGAGTTGAACGCTGTGGTCAGCTGAATTACCTTTCACCCATATTTGGTGTGTGAGGTGGAGTTTATCAGTGATATTATAAGTCTCATTCTAGTCTGGGGTTTCTTTTCTTTCTTTTTAGTCTTAGTGTTCCTCTGTCCCCAGCATGTTGTTTTTTTTTGAGACAGAGTCTCACTATGTCACCCTCAGTAGAGTGCTGTGGCATCACAGCTCATAGCAACCTCCAACTCTTGGCCTTTAGCAATTGTCTTGCCTCAGTCTCCCAAGTAGCTGAGACTACAGGCACCTGCCACAATGCCCCACTATTTTTTTGTTACAGGTGTCATTGTTGTTTAGCAGTCCCAGGCCGGGTTCCAATCCTCCAGCCTTGGTGTAGGTGGCTGGCACACTAACCACTGAACTATGGGCACTGAGCCAGCATGTTGCATTGTGTTTGTTCTAAAATGTTATGTATTGCTACCTTCTTGAATTAGGTGTGTGTGATTAAGCATTTCATTTAAGAGTAGTTCCGTTTAATTTTTTCAAGTTTTCCTTTTGGCAGGAGAGAACTCTGAATTAAGAGAAATGCCAGTGGAAGTTAGAAAAGGATCTGATTTCAATATTTCAAGTCATTCCAAGACAGAAGGTATGACTTTTCCTTAGCTTGTCACAACATTTTGTGGTTTGTTGAATATTCTGCACGTAGTAAGAGGAATAATTTTGGCATTTTACTTATTGGCAGGATCTTAAAATGCTATTGTTGCCAATTTGGTAACATTTAAAATAATTTTATATGAATCTAGAATAGTATAAGACAGGTTAATGAATTTTAGTATATGTGGTATCTTTTTTTAAAATTGCTAAGTGAAAGGGCAAGTATTTTAAAAATGTAATGAGATATTAGATAGTCTGGCTAATTTAAATGTGTTTATAAACCAGTGCCCCTTTTCCCATCTTTTAGGCATTTGTGTACCAATATACTGATTTTCGTCCTATCTTTACACCACCTATTCTATCATTTAGGGTTTTTTGTTGAATATGTCCACTTTTTAGGTTAAGTCCATCTTAAAATGAAACTTTATACTAGTCATTACAGAATATAAAGTTAAACTAACATACACGTGTTGCGAATAGAAAGTAATGATAAAAATAAATACAATAAAAATAAAGATACCAAATTCTAAGTATTACTGGGCACGTTGTGTTCAACCTGATGCCTGAGTTGTCTTTGTTGGAAGGAAAGGTTGACAGGTGCTAAAGAAGTTTCAAAAGCATCCTAGAATCAGATTGAGACTTTTTCCTTTACATAGTCAAAATAATTAAAATAATACAAATCTAATTTTTTTCTTACTCTGTGATGCAGTGTTATGTAATGTGGGAACCACATAAGCCACCATTTAGGAAATGCCTCTGTCCTTCAGTTTCCTCATTTATGAATAAAAATCTTTGGCAACATAATCGCTGATGGCCCTTCCATCAGAGATTAAGCTATATGCTTCTATTTTTTTTTAAGGTGAATATATGTGTTAACTTCTTTAAATTACAAGGCAGAACCTACAACTTTTCTTGTGAGTGTGGATCTAGTTGGCAAATCCAGTGAAAGAGAATGTTCATGTATTTTGTCATTCCACCTTGTTCTTTGGGTTTCTTTTTTGTTTTGGTTTTTTGAGACAGAGTCTCACTCTGTTGCCCAGGATCAGCAGCCTAACTCACAGCAACCTCAAACTCCTAGGTTCAAGTGATTCTCTTGCCTCAGCCTCTCAAGTATCTGGGACTATAGGCACCCACCACAGCACCTGGCTCATTTTTTCTGTTAGACAGTGTCTTGCATTGCTCAGGCTTGTCTCGATCTCCTGAGCTCAAGCAGTCCTCCCACTGCAGTCTCTCAGTGCTAGGATTACAGACATGAGCCACTCCACTGTTCTTTGGGATTCTTAACCTTCCTCAAAACATGAGGTAGTGTTTCGTAGTGTGACTAGCTCAAACCTTGGTATATTTTTTATGCCAAACATATATACTATTAAGGAATAATTTTCCATTTTGCAAAGAGTTTTTGAAAGATTTACTTTTAGGCAACTAGTTCTATAGTAAATTTGTCTTTAATGCATTCAGTAAGGAAGAAAGGAAAGTTCTTTCATCTTCATGATTAGAATCTTCAGAACAAATGTGAAATTTGTGAGATATGATGAATAGTCTATAACTCTGGCATGAATGTGTGATAAAATGTTAACTTTTCTATTTTGTGCTTTTTAAGAGATAGACACCAGTTCTATTTGGGGCTTCGGCTCTCCCCCATGTCCCTGTATATGAACAAGGGATGAGTTATGTATATCTGTACAACCATATTGAGAGATGTATGTATTTCTCATGTATGTCCTGAAGACTACCAGGGCACCTTACAACAGAGTTTCTGAAAATTACTAGTCTCTTTCTACTTATTGTTGAATTTTAGTACTATTAAAACCCATCTTAGTGTTAAACATATAAAGTACCAGTGACCTACATACAACCACTATGACCTTGGTAAATCAACCCTTTTTGAACCTCAGTTTCTTCATTGGTAAAATGGAGATAATAATACCTATATTTTAGGCTAACATATATTATGAGAGCTAATTTTTATAATGTTCTTATAATAGAAACATAGAAAGCACTTGATTCCAGGTGATCTGATATGAATGCTAATAGTTTCAGCTCAGGTTGGATCTGGTTATGTGAATCATCCTTCTTTGGGATAGAGGTTATTGGTGTAGGGGAGGGGGATGTAGGGGCTGTCTTACACCAGTTAGCCCTAAATCAGTAGCAATACTGAAATTTAAAAATAGCCAAATTAAGGTACGCCTGAAAGGCAATTTCTCTCTATTTTTCTCAGCCTCCATAGGTAGCAGACACCTTTTACCCTTCTAAGATGATTCCTTACCAATCTGAGTAATCTTCAGTTCAGCTTGACTGCTATAACTTTTTTTATTCTAGCGTTGTCACCGGCATTATCACCAAAGAAGCCTTCTCATCCAGTCATGGATTTTTTCAGTTCACATCTTTTAGCTGACTCTTCCTCACCAGCAACTAATTCTAGTCAAGCAGAGGCCCAGGAAGCAGTTGTGAACGATTTCCTTCTTTCTGATGAAAATCTTCAGAAGGTGGAAAATGTACTTGATCTTTGGAGTTCGGGTCTTAAGGTATTGCAGTTTTTTGAGTATAGTTGTTTAAAATGCAGTTTTGCTTTTGATTGTACTGTTTATTCTCTTCTTTGAATTACAAAGTGTTTTTTAATAATCATTTGTTTCCCGAGAAGATCAGTCCAGTGTGCTTCTTAGTCTTTCATGTACTTATGAGTCACCTGGGGATACCGTTAAACTGCAGCTTCATACTCAGTAGGTTTCTGGCAGGGCCCACATTATGCATTTCTCTCAAGCTCCCCAGAGATGCGACTGTTCCAAAACCATACTTCCAGTTGCCAGGTTTTAAATAGCTGCTGGAACAGCTCTACATGTTCCACTGAATTTCTCAGATATTTTGAAAGGCTCAGCCTATAGAGACTGAGGCATATTGAGCCTTTACCATGTCTTAGTTATGACAAATGGAAATGTCTCCTTTTGTGTGAAACACAAGATCTGATTTTAGCAATCGCTCTTATAGCAACCACATGTATAACTGATAAGTCTCTAAAAATTTATTTTTATTTTGGTGACGTTAGTGGCCTCAAAGTAAAACAAAAATTTTACAGAGGTGGCAAGTTCTTTACTATTTTTTTTTTTAGAAAATGGAGAAAATGACAATTTGAGAAAACTAAATAGCATTTACATACATGAAGAAATTATGGCCATGTTAGCTCTATTTATGGCATTTACATTATATTTTTCTATTATTAGAAATTTTCTATTATTACATTATATTTTTCTATTATTATTTGGAACTTTGAATTCTAGGAAGGATCTTTTAGCATAGGTTTTAACATTTTCCCTCTTTGGACCAGGCTTAAATTCATACTTCTAATAATAGCGTTAAGTCCATTGGAGTAGCTTACCTCCCACCATTTAAATTGTTACCGGTTCAGTTAACCATACCTGATATCTAGACTTTCTGATAACAAAGGCTTATTTGACATTTTTACTTAGGCCTGTCAACTTAGTTTGAAAAGATGCAGCAATTTGTTGTAAGGTGAACTTGTGATAAACGGTTCACGGGGGAGAAAGGATCAGCTCCCTGGTTTTCATAACTGCCTGGTCATATGAGTTTTGTTTTTGTTTTATTTTTTGCAATTTTTTGGCCGAGGCCGGGTTTGAACCCAACACCTCCTGTATATGGGGCTGGTGCCCTACTCCTTGAGCCACAGGCACCACCTAACTGCCTGGTCATCTGCTCAGCCTAGGCTGTAATCCCGTTTCTTTTTTCCCTGATCCGTCTTTATGTGTACCTTAAGTCCTTGAATTAACAAAGGGCCTTAGTGATGAGGTCTGAAATTTTTTTCGTGACAACAGGACTGCAGATAAAATTACTTAAAGTCAGAAAAATTAATTTCACTGGTATGGTGAATGTGAACAGTGAAGAAATGTGACTGTTGAACTTACATATGTTTTTCATTAGTGTGTTCTGATTTTTTTTTAATTTTTAAATTATAATTATATATCTGTGGGGTACAACATGATGATTTGGTATACAATGTGGAATGCTTAAATCACCCTGATTAACATAAGGATCACCTCACTTATCTTTTGTGGTAAGACATTTATAATCTACTCTGAGTTATTTTGAAATATACCTTTGCATTGTACACTTTAGGTGAGATCCCACCAAATGCCCCCCTCCCACCAATCACCCTTCCTTTTCCTCTCCCCTCTTCCTTGTGTTGATTGCTTGGTCTGATTTTCACATTTCTTAATTTCAATGTAGTTTTAGGAATGGATATTAAAGGAACAAAGTGCTTAATTGTCGGTATATTTGTTTTTTCAGACAAACGTCCTATCCGAATTAAGTAAATGGAAACTTAATTTTATTGACTGGCACCGAATGGAAATGAGAAAAGAGAAAGAGAAACATGCGGCACTTTCAAAACAGCTGCAAAACCAGATCAATGAATTGAAGGAGCTGCAAAAAACCTTCGAAATTTCCATTGGGAGAAAAGATGAGGTCTTCTTTTCTATATCTCTTTTTAACTGAGATTCAGTAAATGTTTTGCTAGGTAATAAATTCTAAGAACTAATGATTACTGAGTGTATACTTTGTATACATAAATCAAAACGTAGCCTTGTACTCCATAAATGTATACAACTATGATTTGTCGATGTGAAATTTTTTTTTTTAAAGAGTATAATTGTAGGTACGCTAGTTTTTACTTTCTAAAGTCTTGTTTCTGACTGCCCTTAAGAGAACGTCAGAACCAGCTTTATCCACATTTTAAACAACCCTTTGGGCATCATTTTAAGCATCTTAAATTCTTTTTTTTTCTTTATTTTGTTTTGTTTTTTGAGACAGAATCTCACTTTGTCACTCTCAATAGAGTACAATGGTGTCACAGCTTATAGCAACCTCAAACTCTTGAGCTCAAGCCTTAAGATTCTCTTGCCTCAATCTCCCAAGTAGCTGGAACTACTGCCACAATACCTAGCTATTTTTCTGAGAAGGGGTTTTGTTCTTGCTCAGGCTGGTCTCAAACTCATGAGCTCAGGCAATCCACCCACCTCAGCCTCCCAAGTGCTGGGATTACAGGTGCGAGCCACCACACTCAGACTCCCCCCCCTTTTTTTTTAGCCAAATTCTCAATTGCCCAGGCTGGAGAGCAGTGGCTGTTTATGGGTGTGGTCACAGCATACTGCATTCTCTATCTCCTGGGCTCAAGCAGTCCTCCCAGCTCACCCTCCTCAGTAGCCGGGACATTAGGTGCATACTGCCACACCCAGCTTCAAGCACCTCAAATTCTGTCTAAATGAGAACACCTCATTTCATTTTCTGTTAGTTTCTTAAAAACTTAAGGGTAAACTTCAGGTCTCTTGTTAATTTTTTGCCTTCTGATATTCTTAAAACAAAGCAGATGGGCAAGAAATTGATGATGGGCCCCCACATCTATTTATGGATAAGAAGATGGTAGCTTTCAGAGGAGAGAGACTTGTGGCAGGCACCTCAGCTGCTTGTCTACAGAAGCAGCATTCAAGTATTTTAATGAACTTGATGAAGTTTTGGGTTTTTTAAAAATATGGATATCTTTTGGTTTTGTGGGATATGATATAAAATTGAATAATTTATGTAGACTGCTTTTTTAAAACAATGGATACTAATGTCAGTCATTTATTATCCTCAAAATTCCGTTCTAAGGGTTATTTTGAAGTATCAACACAAAAAGAATATAGACACCATATATTCAGTTTATGTAACAGTCATAAACCTCCATTCAGCTTAATAAATAGAATATTACTGATGTCTTAGAATGTCCAAGACATGTTCCCATTTTGAAATTATTTAAGGAAGAACAATAATAATTGTCTCTTAGTTCTCTTAGAATTGTTCTATTAGAACAAATAAATGTCTCTTAGTAAAAGTGCCCAGTTTATAAAATCTCTTTCTAATATGGCTATTTTTAGAAATATACATAGTTAACCACCTCCCTGCATTGACCACCTCCTTAAGTTGACCTGATTTTCATAGACCAGACAGGCACCATAGTACAGTAGACCTAGTTCCTTACATTGCCCACCTCTGTATGTTGACCAGCTTGTTGCAGTCCCTCGTGTGGTCAGAGGTTACACAGGTAACAGAGGTTCTAATGTATTTCAGTTATTCAGTTATATAAGAGAGAATATTATCTTAACATTGAAAAGCCTTCTAGGATTTCTTAAGAACAAGAATATCACTGAAGAAGTGCATCTAAATATGACCATTACTTGCTTTTACAAATGTGTTTAATCCAGAAAATCATTAAACAGTATCAACAAACTTCTGTATCTAAGGTAAGTAGTAGGGTCTAGAAAGATATTTTAAACCCGGCATCTGCCCTCAAGTCTAGTGAATAATGGTTTTGTATGTGTCACAAAACTTTCAAATGTATAATTGTTTTTCCTGAATTAAATGTCAGTAGCTATATTAATTTTCATGTACGTAAACCTTTTACTAATGAGGACCAAGACATAACATCATGATTTCTTTCCTCTTTTGTTCCCCTTCATCTGTTGATATTCAGTGCGTTCATATGGGGAAGTTTGTCAGTCTTTTTAAAGGTAGTAATGAGGTTAACTGGATCATGGGTCAGTATAGTAGTGATCTAAAGTTATTCTTCTATAGCACTTTTTTGATCTATGAGAAAATCATTCTGCCAATTGCTGTTTTTGTAACATCACAGTAATTGAGTTAATTGCTGTTTACAGGTGATTTCTAGCTTGTCCCATGGCATAGGCAAGCAGAAGGAAAAGATGGAGTTGATGAGAACATTCTTCCACTGGCAAATTGGCCATATCAAATCCAAACAGGATGTAAGTATAAAAAAGAGAAGACCACTGATGGACATTAGACTCTGAACTCAGAAGGGTTTAGGGTCACGTATTAGAACTCTTGTTAAAGTCTAAGAAAGATATGTTTTCTCTAAGTATAGTTTAGAAAAACTACCTCTTAGTTTTCATAGACATATGAGATACATATTTTATTTTTATGTATATGGGTGTATACATTACACATACACACACATATATATATATTATTTGCTGCTTCAGAGAAGATTAATAAGGATTGCACCTAACCTAAACTACAAATGCCCTGGTAATGGAACCCTTTTAGCAAATGTGACCTCAGATATGGAGAAAATGTATAATCCTTAACATGTCATGTGCATCCCATATTGTCTCTACTTTTAAGATGCCTGAATACTTTTTCATAAAGAGGCATTACTGTGTTTATACATTAAAAAGTAGTGCAAATATCTGTTGTATAGACTTGCCTGTAATTAAAAATTAAAGAAAGCCATGTCTGTAGAGCTTTTTAGAGCTTTCTAAAAGTTATCCTTAGTTTGTAGTATATCATTTAAACTTGAACATCTTTCATTTTAATTAAATAAGAGTTGAGTCAGTATTTCAAAGTAAATAGTGAGCTGAGAAAGACTTCCATGTACATGTGTATGAGATCTCCCACAAGAAGACAGAGTACAGGCTTGGTGCCTGTGGCTCAAGCGGCTAAGGCGCCAGCCACATACACCTAAGGTGGCAGGTTCCCAGGCCCGCCAAACAACAATGATGGCTGCAACCAAAAAATGGCCAGGCGTTGTGGCGGGCACCTGTAGTCCCAGCTACTTGGGAGGCTGAGGCAGGAGACTCGCTTGAGCCCAGGAGTTGGAGGTTGCTATGAGCGTGATGCCATGGCACTCTACCCAGAGGGATAGCTTGAGGCTCCGTCTCAAAAAAAAAGAGAGATCCACAATATAGACGATGGATTTTTTTTTTCATGTGAGCAATAATCTCTGAGCATTTATTTAGCTTTCAGGAGGTTAATATTTAGGGAAAAAAGCTATTATGGGTTGAGTATCCCTTATCCAAAATGCCTGGGACTAGATGTTTTAGATTTCAGGCTGTTTGAGATTTTGAAATATTTTCATATATAAAATGCAGTATGTTGAGTATGAGACCCAAGTCTAAGCATGAAATTCATTTATATTTCATATCCACCTTATACACATAGTCTAAAGGTAACTGTACATGATATTTTTTAACGATTTTGTTATTGAAACAAAGTTTGTGTTGAGTACATATGTATAGAATTTTCTACTTGTAGCATCAAATCCGCACTCAAAGTTTGGATTTGGGGGTTAGGGATGCTCAGCCTGCATTGTGGAATAGGATTTCTCCTTTAAGAATACTTCCTAGTGTTTTCATTTTTTTTTTTACTAATCCCTATATATTAAATCTACATTAATCATATTGAAATGAGCTGTTAAAAATGAGTATGCTACATTTTGAAAGTTATTTGTCAAATGGCATAATGAGGATACGTATTTATTGTTAAATGTTAGCTAGAATAGTTGACTATCCATCACTTCTGGATAGTTCTTCAAATTTAAGAAAATTGAGAATGGGAACTATGTTTTCAAAAGAATTTAAAGTCATTGATAAAAGATATATATTCCTATTTAAATCAGGTTGGCGTTATATATGGTGGCATAAATTCATCCTGCTTATGAGGTAGTGGCCACCAAGCCAAAGAGAAAGTGGTGTCATCTGAAGCCACAGCCGTCCCTTTTATTTTTGCTTTCCAGCAACTCTTTTGTTATTCTCCTGGTTATGCTATCCCCCCAAAGTCATCCACATTTGTAGCTAAGATGGCAAGTGGCATATACTCATTTTTTCTCGTTCGGCTTTTTTCTCTTTCCCCTGATTTGATTAGTTACATAAAGCAATGATGTCATGGGTAAGAGCTCAGCCTCTACAGTCAGGCAGGTCTAGCTTTACCGTGCCTACTAGTGTGATGCAGGAAGGTTAGGTAACCTCTGTCGCCTGCTCTCCCATGTGCAAGATGAGAATAATGTGATTACACAGGATTAAATGGTACCCCTACCACCAGGTTATGTTATTATTACTAGCAGTATATTTATCACTGTGTTTTTGAGGTTGCATATTACTTTCATTTAGGTCTATGAAGATAAACTAGCTGACCAGTACTTCCAGAGAAATTTAGTGAAGAAAGTCTGGAAAGGCTGGCGTTCCATAATACAAAAGCAATGGAAAGATGTGGTGGAGCGAGCTTGTCAAGCAAGAGCTGAAGAAGTTTGTGTCCAGATTTCCAATGATTATGAAACCAAAATTGCTATGGTAAACTTTAACTTTTAACTTTTTTTAATATAGTAAAAAGATGGGTAGACTGTTAATTTATAGTTAAACTTCTCTTTTGGTCTTTATGTAGCCAAGAGTAAAGACAAAAACCAAAAATGTTTATCCTTGTGTTAATTGAAATAAACTAGGTTCTTAAAAGCTTGATAGAAAGCAGTTGTACGTAAATTAAAACTATTTCCCCATTGATGTTTGATCATGATAGTGTTTCCATGGGAAAATATTTAGGACCTAAAATGAAATAAAGACATTCTAAAGAATGCAGTAGGCCTCTTAAAGTCAAATATTAAAGGGAAAAAGATTTTCATTATTACAGCAGTAAATTCCTAACATTAAAAATCAATTTCTTAATAAAAATAATTTTCTGTAATTCAAAATGACATACAAAAAATATATGTAGTCTCCTTAGCTTTGGTCTACAGAAAAGTGTGTTTGCATATAACATCACTCCACTTCACATTCTATAGATAACACTTACTTTTTAAAAATTCTGTTAATATTGCAGGTACTTAGTTTTCTGAAGGGACTCAGACTGTCTATGACTCTTAATGTGTTTTGTTTATTATGCCAGATAAAAGTTTTATGGTAAGAAATAACATATCTTTTTGCAAAATGAAAACATATCATCAATCTTCAGTGAGACTGGTATAAAATTCCCCTTAGTTGAGCCTTGACTTTGTGGTTAGGAATGAGCATGATCTGTTGATGGAGTTAATAGAGACAAGATGTATCTTTTAAAATAAATTGAGACACAAAAGAGGGAAAGTGTTGTTAGTATGTCACATAAGAATAACCTCACAGTGTAAGTCTGTTTTTCAACTATAATATTCCTCTTTGTATCTCAAATTGTTTTCTTTTTTTTCTGATTCTCCGTATTTTAGTTAACTGGTGCTTTGGAAAATGCAAAAGCTGAGATTCAAAGAATGCAACATGAAAAAGAGCACTTTGAAGATTCCATGAAAAAAGCTTTCATGAGGGGTGTATGTGCATTAAATCTTGAAGCCATGACTATGTTTCAAAACAAAAATGATACAGGTTTGTATTTTATTGAAGATTCTCTGCCTACTTTCAAGAAAGGATTTGAGGAGATTTGGGTGATTTCTATAGTGTCTGGTATGAATATTCTGCAATGGAGATGTTTCATCCAGGTAGTGATATTTTCAGTTTCACAGTGTCATGAAGTCTGCTGTGAAAATAAGCTCAGTCACAGGTGCTTATGATATCTTAGATCTGATCACGATCTGATCAAGAAAACTGTCAGCTCCTAAGCATTTAAGCTAACTGTTAAAGTAATGCTTTTAATATATAACATTATTTTAAGGCTCCTTCAACTATAATTTTAATGCCTTTTAAATATAAAATGTCTATTTTTATTTTTTCCCAAGTAGACAAATTTCTTGGACTAGTTTGTTGATTATATATTCTTTTTTTTTTATTATTAAATCATAGCTGTGTACATTAATGATGCAGTCATGGGGTACAGTGTTCTGGTTTTATATACAATTTGAAATATTTTCATCAAACTGGTTAACATAGCCTTCATTGCATTTTCTTAGATATTGTGTTAAGACATTTATATTCTACATTTAGAAAGTTTCACATATACGGTTGGAAGGTGCACCATAGGCGTGGTCCTACCAATCAGCCTCCCTCCACCCATCCTCCCCCTTCACTTCCCCTTCCTCTCCCCTTTCCTCATATTCTTGGGCATATAATTTGATATGAAAGCAATAAATTGGTTTCATAGTAGGGCTGAGTACACTGGATACTTTTTCTTCCATTCTTGAGATACTTTGCTAAGAAGAGTATGTTCCAGCTTTATCCATGTAAACATGAAGGAGGTAAAGTCTCTGTCTTTCTTTAAGGCTGAATAATATTCCTTGGTGTACATATACCACAATTTATTGATCCATTCATGGGTCATTGGGCATTTGGGCTTCTTCCATGATTTAGCAATTATGGATTGGGCTACAATAAACATTCTGGTACAAATATCTTTGTTGTAGTGTGATTTTAGGTCTTTTGGATATATACCTAGTAGAGTAATTGTAGGATCAAATGGCAGGTCTATTTTTAGTTCTATAAGTCTTCGACAAACATCTTTCCAAAAGGAATGCATTAGTTTGCATACCCACCGGCAGTGTAAAAGTGTTCCCTTTTCTCCACATCCATGCCAACATCTCTGGTTGTGGGATTTTGTGATATGGACTAATCTTACTGGAGTTAGATGATATCTCAAAGTTGCTTTGATCTGCATTTCTCTGATGATTAAGGATGATGAGCATTTTTTCATGTGTCTGTAGGCCATGCGCCTGTCTTCTTCAGAGAAGTTCCTCTTCACGTCCCTTGCCCACCCTGAAATGGGATCACTTATCTTTTCTTGCTAATACGTTTGAGTTCTCTGTGGATTCTGGTTAGTACCTTTGTCAGAGACATAACCTGCAAATATCTTCTCCCATTCTGAGGGCTGTCTGCTTGCGTTACTTACTATATTCTTGGCTGTGCCGGTTTTTAGTTTGATCAGGTCCCAGTAGTGTATTTTTGATGTCGCTCCAATTGCCTAGGGGATCCTCCTCATGAAATATTCACCCCAGGCTGATTTCTTCAAGTGTTTTCCCTACACTTTCCTCTAGTATTTTTATAGTTTCATGTCTTAAGTTTAAATCTTTAATCCAGTGAGAGTCTATCTTAGTTAATGGTGAAAAGTGTGGATCCAGTTTTAGTCTTCTACAGGTCACCAGCCAGTTCACCCAGCACCATTTGTTAAATAGGGGATCTTTTCCCCACTCAATGTTTTTAATTGGCTTGTCAAAGATCAGATAATGGTAAATAGCTGTGTGCAACTCTTGGTTTTCTATTTTGTTCCATACATCTACCTCTCTGTTTTTGTGCCAGTACCATGCTGTATTGATCACTATCAATTTATAGTATAGTTTGAGGTCTGGTAGTGTGATTCCTCCTGCTTTGTTTTTATTTCTGAGTAATGTCTTGGCTATTCAAGGTTTTTTTCTGATTCCATATAAAATGAAGTATTATTTTTTCAAGATCTTGAAGCTATGACAGTAGACCTTTATGAGGGATTACATTAAAATTATGTATTGTTTTGGGTAGTATGAACATTTTAACAATGTTCATTCTTCCCAGCCATAAGCATGGTATGTTTTTCCATTTGTTAACATTTTCAGTTATTTCTTTTCTTAGAGTTTCATAGTTGTCTTTATAGAGCTCTTTCACATCCTTTATTAGGTAAATTCCCAAATATTTCATCTTCTTTGGCACTACTGTGAACGGAATAGAATCCTTGACTGTTTTTTTCAGCTTGACTGTTGTTGATATATATAAAGGCTAGTGATTTATGAGTGTTGATTTTGTAACCTGAGATGCTGCTGTATTCCTTGATCATTTCTAAGAGTTTTGTAGTAGAATCCCTGGTGTTTTCCAGATATACAATCATATATCATCTGTGAAGAGTGAAAGTTCGATCTCTTCTGACCCTATATGGATACCCTTGATCGCCTTTTCCTCCCTAATTGCAATGGCTAAAACTTCCATTACAATGTTAAAGAGCAGTGGAGACAATGGGCAACTTTGCTGGTTCCTGATCTGAGTGGAAATGATTTCAATTTAACTCCATTCAATATGATATTGGCTGTGGGTTTGCTGGAGATGGTCTCTATCAGTTTAAGAAATGTCCCTTCTACACCAATTTTCTTAAGTGTTCTGGTCATGAAGGGATGCTGGATATTACCAAAAGCTTTTTCTGCTTCAATCAAGAGAATCATATGGTCTTTGTTTTTTAATTTGTTTATGTGCTGAATTATATTTATAGATTTACATATATTGAACCAGCCTTGAGACCCTGGGATAAAACCCACTTGGTTGTGGTGTATAATTTGTTTGAAGTGTTCCTGGATTCTGCTTGTTAGGATCTTGTTGAATATTTTTGCATTAATATTCATTAGTGATATTGTCTATAATTTTCTTTTCTTGTTGGGTCTTTTCCTCATTTGGGGATCAAGGTGATGTTTGCTTCATAGAATGTGTGGGGTAGTATTCCTTCTTTTACTATATTTTGGAAAAGGTTAAGTAATATAGGTACTAGTTCCTCTTTAAAGCTTTGGTAGAATTCTGATGTGTAGCCATCTGGTCCCTGGCTTTTCCTTTTAGGGAGGTTTTGTATAGTTGATGCTATTTCAGAACTTGATATAGGCCTGTTCAACATTTCCACTTCATTTTCTCTAATTCTTAGAAGGTGGCATGCTTCCAAGTATTGGTCAATTTCCTTCAGATTTTTATATTTCTGAGAATAAAGTTTTTTATAATATTCATTAAGGATTTTTTGAATTTTTTTTTATGTCCTCCTCAGCCCCTCCACTCCTCCCTTACCCTCAGGGCACTTCTACTGCGCCAGTCTTAACAACTAGGAAGCTGATGCTCAGAGAGATCAGATAACTTGCCTAAAGTAACATAACTAATAAAAAGAAATCAGGTATGATTCTTTTTTGCTCTCCTCCACTCTTCCCTATTTTTGAGACAGAATCTTACTCTGTTGCCCAGGCTAGAGTGCCATGGCATCAGCCTAGCTCACAGCAACTTCCAACTCCTGAGTTCAAGCAATCCTCCTGCCTCAGCTTCCTGAGTAGCTGAGAGCACAGGCATCTGCCACAGTCTCTGGCTAATTTTTCTATTTTTAGTAGACTGGAGTATCCGATTTTTTGAATTTCTGAAGGCTGTGTTATTTCATGTTTACCATTTCTGATTGACAAAATTAGAGATTTTACTCTTGTTTTCCTGGTTAGGTTGGCCAAAGGTTTGTCTATTTTATTGACCTTTTCAAAAAACCAACTTTTTGATTTATTGATCTGTTGTATAATCCTTTACTTTTCAATTTCATTTAATTCTGCTCTAATTTTGGTTATTTCTTTTCTTCTGCTGGGTTTGGGATTGGAATGTTCTTCCTTTTCCAGTTGCTTGAGATGTCCCATTAAGTTGTTAACTTCCTCTCTTTCTATTTTCTTGAGGAAGGCTTGCAATGCTATAAATTTCCCCCTTAGGACTGCCCTTATGGTATCCCAGAGGTTCTGATAATTTGTGTCATTATCATTTTGTTCCAAAATTTTGATAATTTCCTTCTTAATCTTGTCTATAACCCAGCTATCATTCAGCATAAGGTTATTTAGCTTCCATGTTTTTGTATGAGTTGCAGATTCCTGTTGTTACGGAGTTCAACTTTTATTCCATGATAGTCCAAGAAGATGCAAGGAATAATTTTTATTATTTTAAATTTGCTGAGGTTAGACTTATGACCTAAGATGTGATCGATTTTGGAGTATGTTCCGTAGGCTGATGAGGAAAATGTGTATTCAGTTTTATTAGGATGAAATGTTCTGTAGATGTCTGTTAAATCCAAATGTTGAATGGGTTAGTTTAAATCTAAAATTTCTTTGCTTAGCTTCTTATTGGAGGATTATCCAACAACACTGCCAAAGGAGTGTTAAAATCTCTGACTATGATGTAGCTGGAAGAAATCAAGGTGCTCATGCCTATTAGATTGTCTCTTATAACACTCTAAGAGTGTCTCTTAGAACCAGAGGTACATAAATATTAATAATTGAAATCTCATCATATTGGGTATTACCCTTAACAAATATGAAGTGACCATCCTTATCCTTGCTAACTTTTGTTGGTTTGAAGCCTATAGTGTCTGCTATTGTGTCTACAAATAAAATTGCAACACCTGCTTTTTTCTGCTTGCCTTTTGCCTGGAATATAGATAACCATCCCTTCACCCTGAGTCTATATTTATCTTTTAAGGTCAGATGAGATTCTTGTATACAGCAGATATCTGGCCTGTATCTAGTCAGCCAACCTGTGCCTCTTTAGAGTAAGGTGACCAGATTTTAAGATTGGTAAAACGGGACACCATTGGGGGTGGGGAGGATCTTAATTAAAAATTTGGTCTATATGGAGCAACAAAAATTTTCATAGAATGCAAAAATAGTATTGTAATATTTTTTTTGAATTTCAACATAAGT